GTCACTGCCGATGACATTAAGACCCTAGCCTATTTTTATTGCCTCTACAATAACATCTGTGTCTTACAAGTTTCTAGAAGGGCCATCAACAATCCATTCACAGTGTCCTACCTCCTTCTCCGTGACTCCTTCGACAACATCCACTTCCTCTTCTTCCTTCTCGAAACCCTAACCAATACCTACTTAGACGGCTTCGCCACTCTCCTGTCGATCCCCACCGTGGGAGTCGTTAGAGCAGGATCATAGAAATGGGAAGGGGGAAGAGACTAACAACGGAAGTAAATTTTTATGAAAGAATTAGTTTTGATAGATTAAATGGCTTATGTTATTGTAATAAACTACACCCTAGAGAGATGGGCAAATGCTTATTTCCCTAGTATAAGTTATGATATTGTTTAAGGATAATTTTTCAAAACCGACTGAATTTTTTTTTTTTTTTTCAAAACCGACTGTTTTTTTTTTATTTATCAAAATCGACCCGGTTTTGTGATTAGGCTGCTAATCACTATCCTAAATAGTCGGGGTTGGCAACCCCGACTATTTAGGAGGGTGTTAAACCCTAATTAAAGGGTGATTAGCAGGTTAATCACTATCCTAAATAGTCGGGGTTGCCAACCCCGACTATTTAGGATAGTGATTAGCAGCCTAATCACAAAACCGGGTCGATTTTGATAAATAAAAAAAAAAACAGTCGGTTTTGAAAAAAAAAAAAAAATTTCAGTCGGTTTTGAAAAATTGTTCTTATGAAAATATGTAGGAAATGAAAGCTCCATGTTTGACCTATCCTTTTACCATCAACAGACCACATGAAAACTCGATCAGTATTAATCTAATAAAAGTATATGAAATAAATCCCGCAAAAGTGTTTGTTGACAGACTGTATGTCTAGCTAGGATCAACCAAACAATATACAGAATAACTTTAACCACCTGTAGTGACCAGACAAGCACTTCGGCTATCCATCAGAATTAGACTGGAAATGTAGCTAATCCTAGAAAACATATTAGGGGTTACAATATCTAGCTAGGATCCGGATGAGAATTTCCTGGGTTCTCATTCATCCTAAAATTGCCTCAATCCGAACAACGTTAAACGCAAAGTTTTTCCATTATTCCTTCTCCAGAAAATGCTTGCTACAATTAATTCTTAAGTATCAAGTTGCATACTAGATGAGGCCATTTCTTTTGGTACCGATTCTTTGCATTACCAAAAAGAAAAAAGAAGGGGAGAGACCACTATTTTTTACCATAATTTTCTATTGTTTAGTTCATGGTTAGGACTCACCTTAAATGAAAAGTGGGAATATGCCCAGTACAGGTTTATGATAAGTAAGAACTTGTCGACAGCTAATAGAACTCTAAGAACTGCTGAGAACCCGAAACCTAAGGTTCATTACTTGGTCCAAGACTTTAATTAAGCTACAATAACGAGCAGTCTTAGTCAAAGTGAAAGTAACAGCATTGAAACCAAAGGTTGGCTTCCCACCGTCAAGCACCAATCCGTAGCCCAAATAAGGAAATTTGTCCAATTTGTGAATTGCACCAAACTCTCGCAAGCATTTTAGATGGGAACTCTCGCTACAATGTCCTTTATATCCGACAATAAAGTTAATGACTATGTCTAAATTTTCTGAACGGATGTGCACGCACCAAAAAAGAATTTATATAGGGGTTTTGGCTGCATATCAAAACCATCAATATTTATTAAATTGCCACCAAATCTTTTTATCTACTAAAATACCCCCATATCTTAAATTTTAGATTTTACCCCAAATCTTAAACTTCATGATCTACAGCAAGGATTTTGATCAGTTAAATATTAATGATTTGGGGGTATATAGATTAAACACCTTTTATATATTATAGCCTCAATGCATGTATATTTTGACTTTCATGTTTTTGTTACCCTTAAAAGGATCTGACAAGTAATATACATATCTATTGTTTGCGCCATGGTAAAAAATCCTGAAGAGGGCCCTCTGTAGAAATGATATAGAGAGGAGCGAGAATGCAACACATGCCACTGCCAATTTTAGTCGATGTAATCTGTAATCCTAGCACAAGCTGTTTTAGCTTAATGCATACAGATGATAGTTACATGTTAATGTTCACATTAGCTTAGTGTATAAAAGATCAATACGGGTAAGTACCTTAGCTTGGAAGTGTCTCAAGGTCAAGACAATACTATCTCGCAATCTGCATAATTTCACAAGGTAATATCAGGTGTATATGCAAAGGGTAGAGAGAAGCAAGCAGGGGAAAAAATGTACAATGCAATTTTGCACAGTAGAATACTATTTGATCCATTTAGAACACTGGTGGTGGCAATTGGCATATGTTCTTTTCATTTCATAAAGGGAAACAGATTATACGACTACCAAGCAATACAAATGTGAAGTTCCTAGGACTTCAGGTAAGTTTCTGGCAATCAAGAATGACTAAGACAGATGATGCTACATATAGGCAATTCACAGCACTTTGCACGGCATTATTGCATTTAGGGACTGTTTGGTTGCAGCAAAAATAAATAGGAGCAAATGTCGCATGCGGCATTTGTTGCGGGAAATCAACTCCATATTCGTTGTTTGGATATCTGCTATTATACTATAGAAAATGTATTTCCAATGCAAGTTCAGTGTTTGGTTGATAAGTAATTAGTGCAAAAGCTACATAAATTTTCCATATAAGGAAACATGAGTGTAGATGGTTTTCTGTTTGGAGTTAAAATGATTTATTTTGATGATGTGGAATTATTTTTATTTTCTAGTTTTGTTTTTGAAGCTTGTAGCGTTTCCTCCGACCAAATGGTCATAGCCTTTGTCGCAAGTTTTTTCTACGAAATGCAAGTACATTTATTTTTCCTAATTACAAAAGTTGCAGACCAAACAATGTATTTATAAATCCGGTTGCTCTATTTCCTTTCGCAACTCTATTTCCATCCAACCAAACAGCTCCCAAATACCATGAGACAGCGGCAAAAGAGTGTTCCTCTCATGACAACTGATACCCATTATTTTACAGTTATCATTGTGAAGCACCCAATGTTACATTAAACGCTGGGCGCTTCTAGGCGTCGGACTTGGCGCCCAGCGCTTAGTCGTCTAGACGGACGCCTAAGCGGTTTCTGGACGTTTTTTTTTCTTCATTTAAGTGGTGGTCGATGAGGTTTTGCTGAAGGTCGAAGGAGGTAGTAGAGGTGTTCATATTTGGAGGTTAACGGAGTTTGGAGGACGTGTAGGCCACGACACATAAAATCACAATCAAGGCCTACAGGGTGCAATCCACGTAAGCAGACAATACTCCCCTAAACGCTCGTAAAATCTACGTGGACAGCCTAAACACCGTCTAGGCGCTAGGCGCTAGTTAGACGGCCTAGGTACCACCTAGGCCTAGGCGTACGTCTAAGCGGACTAGGCGGAGGTTTTTTAAAACAGTGGAAGCACCCAATGTTTACCCATTATTTTACAGTTATCAATGTGAAGCACCCAATGTTTACCCATTATTTTACAGTTATCATTGTGAAGCACCCAATGTTTAGTCCGCATCGGGAAAACAAACAGAAATTTGATAGTTTGAATAGTAAGCCTAAGGAGCCAAATGTACACCAGCTAGTCGGTTTCCGCAGTGGTTTGAGCCAAACAACGCGCTACACTCAGTGAGTCCTACGGCTTACATCGCGCTAATGGGCTCACAGGCCCGGGCCATGACAAATGGTATCGAAGCAGTTAATCAGCCGAAAGTGTGGAGTTAAGTGTTATACGAGGTTAAGTACAACATCGCGTGAGTGTTGTGGAGCCTATAGGAGTCATCTCTAAAGTCCACATCATCTGTCGATGATATTAGGATGCGCTAATTGTCGATGTCGTGATGAGGACGTTGTCGATTTAAGGTGGGGTGGTTGTGAAGCCCTTAATGTTTAGTCTCGCATCGGGAAAAACAAAGAGAAATTTGATGGTTTAAATAGTAAGTCTAAGGAGCCAAATACAGCATCGGCTAGTCAAATTTGGTAGTGGTTTGAGCTAAACAACACGCTACATTCAGTGAGCCCCACTGCTTACATCGTGCCAACGGGCTCGCGAGCCCGAGGCATGATGATAAAGATGTCCTAGATAACGATAGAGGTGTGCAGCGCATGCCTAAGAGAAACCCTGTATAAGCTGTTACAGAGGGTAAAATGATGATCAACTTAGTAGAGGAGATCACCCTCAACAACAATGATTGGTTAGGATTCATGTGACCGACCCAAAAATTTTGGAATACTGGATTTTTGCTGCTGCTTTTGCTGAAAAATGATTCTTTAAAAAAATATAATTTGGAAAAGGAAAAAGAAGTTAAGACAACAATCACTACCTTACTAACTCTACACTAACTAGCAATATGAAAACTAGATGTATAGTCTAAAAGCAAATTTGATAAGATGTGTCACCTAATATTGTTAGTGTCATATTCTTGCAATGTTCTGCTTGTGTTGAATGGTAGAATCGATCCCTCGGAGCACATTAACGTAAATTGTGTTGATTGTCCATTTGGAAGTTTGACCTGCGCATGTAAAGGCATGTCATTTACACGATTCATAATGATAGAATTTCCAGCTACAATAACAAAGAATTACTTAAACATACATATAAATCAGGTGAATATTTTTCCTCCATTACCACATGGTTGGTGCTAATGACTCTAATTCGATAGCCATTTTGTGCTAAAATCAAATGTGCCCGTTCCTCTGAAAAATCCATCTGTTGCACAAACCAATGAATTTAAACTTTTACATAGGCAAAAGTGATTGAAGAAAAGACCAACATAAAAACGATCATTTCCTGGAGCCAATTTGGTTTTGCATAAAATTGACAGAACTAGAGAAAAGAAATCACCATACGCAGAGTTTTCATTACTGCAAAGTGAAAAGGTATAGAATAGGTGCCCATAGACAATGTGTTGTATTTAAAAAAGGAAACGACTATCTACCATTATATTGACTGGAGGCATGTCAACAAAGAAGCAAATATGGGAACTAGAGATGGCAAGAAACAATCACTTACTGTTCATATATAGTTAAAGAAAAACTTATAGGATGCAAGTAAATGAGGTCTCCCGGTCCATGGTATGCAATAAAATCTAGGTTTTTTGAGATAAAATCTAGGTTTTTTGAGATGTTTGTCCCCCTAATCTCATCTATTTAGATGCAAGTCCCCCAAATCATCATATTTGTTGGATAGAAGTCCACTAAATCTTATATATTTAGATGTGTCTCCTAAATCATCATATTTGGATACAAGTCCTCCAAAAGTATTAAGTTCTTTGAAACAAGTACTTAAGGTTAATTATCATCCACTTATCCCAACTAACTTAACAAGGTTGTCAGGAAACAGATTTTAAATTGGAGGGGTCTTAGGAAGCTTAGCAAGATAGAGTTGATTTTAAATGGATTCAAAGGATACATTGGCTTCTTTATCTCTGCACGAAAGTAAGTTGAAGACAAGGGCAAAATGAAAAAAGAAAATAATAGCACCAGTTGTTTAGTTGGGTTAAGTAGATGAGAATTAGCCACAAGGCCTTATTTCAAAGAACTTCATAGTTTCAGTCGACTTGTGTCCCTACATGATGAGTTGGAGGACTTGTATCCAAGTATGATGATTTGGGGGACTAATATCCAAATGTGGTGCTTTGGGGGACTTGTATCTAAAAAGATGAGATTTTGGGGACCAATATTGCAAAAACCCTAAAATTTAAGCATTTGCAGTAGGATCATGAAAGGATTTTTTTTTCAAAGAATTATTTCAATATTCTCGCACTTATTGATCAAGAAGAATTGATTAATTAATTTACATTCCTTTTAAGTTGTTTGAGAAAGAGTTGCTTTCATCCACGGTTCACATTTAGGGTTGGAAATATGAGACAGCCATGCGTGCCTTTCCTGCATCAACGTTCATTACAAACACAAGACACACTGATCCCCACAAATAATAGAAATAGGTATTTAAATATGTAAGCATAGAAAAGATTATGCTTCTCTTAGACAACGTAATTGGTAACTACTAGCTACACCCTTTGACCCAAGGATTGTCTAAGCACTTCATGAATGTAGCTCAACTCCTACGGAGTTGGTCAGAAAAGAAACAACCATGCAGGTGGGACGTTTGCGTTCCTAGTCAGGAACCAAAGACATACCAATACATCCATACTGTTGCAAGAATACAGTTTAAAGGGTATGACATAGACATACTTTAAGTTTAGAGCACCAAACAACGACGATGGTCTACATTATTTAAGACATAGGAATATGTTAGTACAAGTATATACTACTATATAAAAGAAACAGTGGTGGTATTGAAATTTTTTGATGAATGGAAGACATTTCCTCCATCCCATTGTATGTAGAAGGGTAAAATTGAAATTTTATAGAAGATATTCTTCTCTAGAACTTTATAAACCATGGCATGAGCATATCATTGGAGCTTACTACTTAAATATCTATTACATTATATTATAAGAATTATAAGAGATATAACTACGAAAGATAAGGTCCTCCTCAAAAAAAGGAAACAGATAAATACAACAAATCAACAATTAATATTTCTATATGTTCTAATGTAAATATTATCAAAAGTGTACATCTCAGTACTTAGCTTAAAAATAATTAAATATAATAATCTGAAGATAAAACATGAAAAAGATTCTTTTTAATGACACTATCTAGGAAATTTATGTCTTCCCTCAAATTGAAATATATATCGTAGCCAATTTTGAATAAGGTAAGATAAAAATATCGCATATTAAATGAACAAATCTCACAAACAATCTTCTAAAAATCAATGAAACTTTAGGTACTAAAGTGATCCTTTTATTTAAAATTAGAATAATTAAGTTTTAATGGCTTTTGCTCATCCAATCATGTCCAAAAATTGAAGGATTATGACATGATATGGCTTGTAGCTAGAGATAAATAAAAGTGACAATTTTCAGATGCCGTTCAAGTTACATTGCTAATGAATATCAAAAACCATAAATGGGGAAAGAAGGCAAAAAGGCTGAATGCCACCTACCAACAAGAAAACTGTAAATACTGCGCTTCCTGCAGAAATGTGAGCATCAATCTCATACTGCATGGCAGGATCTGTCGAAATATTGGGTAGTTAGATGGTCATGCCTAACAAAACCAAATAACAACATTTAAAATCAGATGATACTTTAATAAGTTCAAACGAAAACTACTATAGTTTCCCAGTTTGCCTTAAGTTCATCTTCCGCCTTTCACATGGGTTTGAGTTAAAGAAAAGATGAATGGTGGAATATAACAGCAGAACTTATTCTTATCATTATGTTCATCATCACACAGAAAGAAGTAATGAAATATCATTGACTTGCTAGACTCGTCTTAGACTAGGAGAGGGAGGTTTGCTCCTTGAATGATGAACCTCAACAACTTGACCACATACGGATAGACTCTCTGATGAGGACAAGAAATGACAATTTCCATATTTGATTAGTTGACTTTCTTTTATTTTTGATTTTTGAAATTTGAAATTTGAAATTTAAAATTTGAATTTTGAATTTTGAATTTTGTATTTTAAATTTTGAATTTTGAATTTTGAATTTTGAAATTTAGTTGAGTGATTTGAGGGATTGTTGTTTTGTTTCTATTTTTTATTGCACGTTGTGTGCACGTAGTTTTCTTTATAAATAATGTTGTATGAGACTATTGAAAGGCAATGAATTATTGAATGAAGAAATATTTGTTAGCTAAATTTTAGTGTGAAGGTTTGGGTGTGAAACCCTAGGTCTCGGGTGTGAAACCCTAGGCTAAATTGTTCTCCTCTGTCACAAACAACCGACAAACCTTCTTTCTCCTCATACACAACCGCCAAATTTCTACTCTTCCCACATCAACAATTTCCAAACCCAGCTCCCAACTCCTCTTCATCCCTCTCAACCAGCCACCACTCCTACTCTGAGCAGCCCTCGGAATCCCTACTCTCCACTCCCAAGCATCCCAACGCTGCCGCCGACCTCATCCCGGCACCTACCACCGGTCTCGATCGGACAGGCCACCCGCGTCCTCACCGCTTTCATCATCTATCATCTCAACGCCATTGATCGTGTCACTGTTCAGTTTGACGCTATCGCCGTCATCATCTTCCCGCTTGACGCCATCGTCTGCGCTGTCATCTAGTCGATGTCGTCGTCCTCATCATCGCCCTCATCGTCGTCAGTTCACACACCGTGGTCATCGCTCAGTCGACGCCGTTTGTCATCGCCAGTTCACTAATCGACCTGTCGACCCGCCGCTACTTGATAGCCCAGTTCGACATCGTCGCACACGTCGTCATCCAGTTCGCCGACGCCCGCCTCGTTTTTTAACACCGTCGCACTCGTCGTTATCGGATCTCCGCCTCGTCATCATCGTTCAGTTCACCGTTGTCATACCACCTCCAGATGTCTCTCACGTCGACTCTGTTCAGACTGACAAAGGTTTCGTTTTCTTTCGTCCCTTATTTTTCTGTTAATTTTATTTTGTTAGTTAATTGCATGAGTATACCATCTCTAAACTCTTATATTATATTCACTGCTGAGATTATACTTGTGAGTAGAGAGCAACCGAACATGTGACTGTTGCAGATTTGATATTGATTTTAGAACTTGCGAAATGATAATAAATACAGCAGTTATATTGTTTGATATTGGAATTGTTCATGATTATTGATGCAAATCTTATTAAAATACATCTGTCACATTAATCGTTTTGAATTTAATTTCCTGCCAAAGCTGAAGATCATGAATTTTGGAGAAACGGTGCGTTATTCAATTTAGATCACTGATTCCGACAGACCTCCTGTCATCGTTTCGCATCATTTTTGGTATCAAAGCATGGTTCTAAGTTAGGAAATTTTTATTTTAGTTGTCTTTATTCAATTAAAAAAATCAATCATCTCATTTAGCTATTAGTGCATGCCCACTCGCACAGGTCCACCATACCGATTGGGAGAGTCAAGTGAGTCAACTAGTGAGTCAAACATGTCAGGCCATGTAAAGTCCGAAATCCTTAAGAAATTCGCTGAACTAGCAGCACGATTTGATACCGTAGCCCAAGAGAGCAGAGCTACCCGTGAGGCCTTCCAAAATGCAATCAGCAAGACGCGCGCTAAGCTAGGAAAAGCGCGTGTTGCAACTCTGCCTCTGTAAGGTCAAGGTCATGGGCACATCGTTCATCAACCCCACCTCAACCTGTGTCTGATCCGCCAACCTTTGATGCTAAGTTCGACCCAAAAGCTTTCTTGGACTGACTGAAGAGTATGGATCGCTACCTTAATTGGTGCGTCCTGACGGAGCCGCGAAAAGTCAAGTTTGCCGCAATGAAACTCACCGGACCCGCCTGCCAATATTGGTCCAACATTGTTAAGACATATTAGAGGTGAATTACCGATTTCAACTTGGCGAGAAATGGTCGACGAGCTTAAAACGAAATACTTCCCGCCATTGTTCTATCATAGATTGCTCGACAAGTGGCATCATCTTACTCAGGGAACCAAATCTGTAAAAGAATACGTTGCTCAATTTGATAAATTGTTTACTCGATGCAACACCATTGAGCAAGAAGCACCAATGAAAGCCTTGTTAAAATTTAAAGTCGGATTGAAAAGTGACTTCCAAACCGAACTCTTTGCTAGAAGAGTAGTGTCACGCCCCAAAACTACAGCGAAAATTCATAAATACGGGTTACGAGACAGCAACGACCCATGCACAAGACAAGTCCCACGCACGAGTCAAGCCTGATACTTATATCAGATAGTTTATCTCAAAGTATTTATAAACATGCTGATGATAGATATATATATGTTACTTACATTCCAAAACCCATACCGTTATAAATATTTATAGCGCAAAACATTCTTTCTGCTGAACATATCACCACTGGCAATTAAGCATTTCCCAACCATGCCCACGATCAAAATTTTGGATTATCACTTTTCTAACTCAGATCTGAAAAAAAAAAAATTAAAAAACAACGAAATGAGCTAAAAAGCTTAGTGAGAACATTTCCCACTAGAGTTCCTAGATAACTAACAAAATAGTGATAAGAATAATTCCCAGAAATAACAAATTATAAGTTTTGCATGAGAAATTCAAAGATAGCAAAATACGATCCAAATATTATAATATTGTCTTCAAGAAAGAATACAATAATTATATTTTCTTTCTTATGTGCAACTGAGATATTTCCTGAAATCAAACTCTTTTTGGATCAAGGTAAATATTAAGAAAGAAAAGAACTACTAATTTGTACAAAACCAGAGGACTATTATTTTCTAAATTTCGCAGTCAATTGTCAAAATTTTAAATCTCCATGAGTCGTGTTCTTCGAATTCATGCTCAAATCTTAAAATCACAAATCTATTACTGTCAGGCGATGTGGACTCTAGAGGTGGCTCCTACGGGCTCTAGAGATGGCTCTCATCGCGTCCACATGATGAAACACTTAGCCCCGCATAACACTTAGCTCCACATTTCAGGCTAGTAATTCATGAAACATAAAAATCAGCTCATATGTCACACTTAGGCTACGAATTATAACCCAGTAGCATGGGAATGCGTAAAACGTATCAAATAATAGATAATTCCCGGGAATCGAATGCACCTAACACTGCCATAGGTTACTGGCCAAATACAGAGGGGCCAGAACACATTTCAGAAGGGCCAATACAAAGGGGCCAAATAAGGTGCATTCACCATATGGCAAGCAGAATTACTCAATAGTGAACTTTTAGAGGGTTTGAAAACATCGAGAATCACTTGTCACAATGAGTAATACTTTACATATCAGAATTTACAGATATTTTCAAATGAAGTGGACGAGGTAAAACTTCTTATCCCATTTAAATCAGTTTACGAATTTTTATTTTTCTTTATTTTTATCAGATACTATGTCACAAGAAATCTTTGAATCCGTAAAACTGTTGAAATATGTTCAAAATATTTCATCAAACTTCTAGAATAAGCAATGCCTAAAATTAGTTGAAGTGAAATCGCATGAGAGCCAAATTCACTTTTCATAGTTCGTATAAAATCAAATTGATTTTTTTTCATATCTTGTACGAAACAACATCATATTTATGGTTTACGCCAGAACAAAAGTAGATCAAATCTTTTATATACATGAAAATGATATATATTATTTATTTATCGATCATACAATTTCATATTATAAAAATACTAGTGAGAAATGAACTCACCTCTAGTGATCGCGACTTTCTCCAAATGTTACTCCCCTGGATGTTAACCAGATCCTATATATGAAGTGATCGCCACAACAGAGGTCTCTCACGTCGAGTCTGTTCAGACCGACAACGGTTTCGTTTTCTTTCGTCCCTTATTTTTCTGTTAATTTTATTTTGTTAGTTAATTGCATGAGTATACAATCTCTAAACTCTTATACTATATTCACTGCTGGATTATACTTGTGAGTAGGGAGCAACTAAATATGTGACTGTTGCAGATCTGATATTGATTTTAGAACTGTTGCAGATCTGATATTGATTTTAGAACTTGCGAAATGATAATAAATACAGCGGTAATATTGTTTGAGATTGGAATTGTTCATGATTATTGATGCAAATCTTATTAAAATGCATCTGCCACATTAATCGTTTTGAATTTAATTTCCTGCCGAAGATCATCATTTTTGGCAAAACGGTGCGTTATTCGATTTAGATCGCTGATTCCGACAGACCCTCTATCATCGTTTCGCATCACTCTCCTACCAGCCGACTGCATTTGTAGGATTTTATCATCCCCAATTTGGTCATAGCTTCTTAACATGGAAGTTTACATAAATTTGGTTGTAAGTCAGAATGACTGCTGGTTATAGAATTTTCTTCACATCTTCATGGAGCCTCAAGCTCCAATACCAACCCATATTCTCATAGAAAAGGTCTTAGATGATGACAGTAATGTCAGCGTATAACATTTCACTTCTAAGCAACTACAAGAATACACAGGACAATGTTTGAGACAAATGACAAAAAATTGATAGGCTATAAAGGCCATGATGGTTAATAAAAAAATCAGTGTAACTTGAACAGTTCAGAAAAAGAAAAAAAGGAATTTCAGTTTTTATATGTGTTATATTTTGGTTTTTCATGCATAGGACACTAGACTCTTATGGGAACTTTGAGAATAAATCAAGCACACTGTTCTTACTGGTGCATTCTGTCAAAGGACCCTGCCACTACTTCAAATCTCCGTAGTTGTGGTAAGGATTGAGGGTTATAGTTTTGTACTCTAATGTTTGAACTTTCTCACAAAGATGTCTCTCAATTGTGTCAAGTAAATATCTCAGTCACTTTTTATCAATCTAAAGACTATTAATGTATGTTGAAATTTCAGTATAAACATGAAACTTATTTATATATGTAAAATATAGGCAAGTCCTGGTCTCAGATGTTTATTTTATATAAACATGAACTATCTTTAGGGTTTTTGTAGTGGACTTTTTCAAGATTTTTTTGTATAGCACCTCTTAATACTAGAATGCTTGAAGCCTGCCCCACAAGTAAACTGAGATTGTTTGTTCTTGGCATCAATACAAAAATATAAAAAAATGTGAAAGAAAAATCTATAGTTTGATTGGAGAAAACATATGTTTATTATGAGAACAAGCCATAAGGAAAAAATTTAATGTGCAGCTCGTCATATATTCACAATCATGACAATGAAAAATTGCAAGGACTTCAACTAAATGAGAAGGAAAAACTGAAACAATCTGAATGAAAACTATAAAATCGCTGTATAAAGATGTCCAGATCTTCAAATTAGTCAATTAAATATAAAGTCAAACACTACAAAAAACTTACCACATACTACTTTGTTTTGGTTGTTGGCAACATGATGAACCAATCTCCCCTATAATAAGCAAATAACTAACTCAGCCTCAGGATTGTGAAACTCAGTTAAAAAAAAAGAATTAGAAGTCTAAAGTATAAGGTAGGGAAGATATTACCCCAAAAGAACATCAAGACAGTAAAGTAATAGTAGATTGAATATTTGAAAAGGAAACAATATACGAAACTTCCAAGAAGTCATCTTTTGCGATGAATCTTTGTATGAGTTAATGGAGAAAATTAATTTCTTCAATCTTTTGATGAATCTGTCCATGGATATTGGAGATAATGATAACTCCCATTATAAAGATGTCTGAGTTTGACTTCAACAATAGTCTAACAAACGTGTTGCAGCAGAATAGCTGCAAATACAGGACGACCGGAACATAACTGAAAGTAGGAACATTACTGAGAGAAACCATATACATAAACTTCGACAAATATTGTTAATAGAAACTAACACTAATATGTATACAACAATAAGGCTAAGCAAAACTAAAATAATACATCAATACTCGAGAAAACTTTGTAACAGAAAGTGCATATATGAGTGAAAGTGAAAGTGAAAGCAAAATATAACAGGACTAGAGACCATGAATGAAGAATTTGCAAGAATCAAGTAAAGAAATAATTATATATCAAAGTTGATACAGCTAGTAAGAAACCTGTCGGCCACTGTCATCTATTGGTATGCAGTCCACAGCAAGAATGGTACCAACATCATCAGCAGTTACCACGTATTCTGGCATTGTGGCTCCTAGAAGGAAGAATTTCCAAGACAAATGAGTTCTATCAGGTAAAAAGGAAGAGTTCTAATGATGGTTGGTCCAATAAAATAACTATTTCATAAAACATTCAAAAATTACCTTCAATTAACTGCTTTGTACCAACAATGTCAATATGACGAACCCACTAAAAATTGATCCCATATTAGCGCTAACAATGTGCATGAATATATTTTTAAAAAAAAATCCAGAGAAAAAGAAGACAACTAAAGAACATATATAAAGTCAAGTACCTGGAAGATGCAAAGGGAAGTCCCATTCGTGGCATAGCCACATGCTCTCAGAGTGCTTCCTGGTGTAGCTTCACCAGTGATTTGAAATCCCCCGATACCAGGTAAAGATACTTCGCCTGCTAGAAAAATTAATTGCTCATCAGTCATTAAAAGAAGGAGTGTTTTATTGGAGAGAACAAAGTATCAAGTTTTTTCATTGGACAAAATAAGGTAATAAAAACATCTATCTGCAGCAGTCTTGCCTTACATTACCTTCTGAACTAGGAGAAGTTCGTCTCTCGTGTGATGTGGGGATATCAGCCCAGGAAACAACTTCTTGTCTTCTCTTTAGGGCATCAGATTTGTTATCCTCGGAGACAGTAGGAATAGCAATCTCTCTAAGTTCCCTGAGATAGAATGGCTCGTAAGCACACAAAGAAATTAACCCATAGACAATCATAACTCATCATTTTAGTAACCATGAATGTCACTATCCGTTGGGAACATGGCTTGTAACATAACTGAAGAAGAGGGATTTTTATAGCCATCCACAAAGATTCACAATAAAGGCTACCAAAATATTCATTGGGGATATCTCACCCTCAACTTTGCTGAATCATTCCAGTAACCAATAAAAGCAAATCCTTTACAGTTACTCCATTCTTTAACATCCAATAGATGGATTTCATGTTTGACGGACTTCTCATAAATACACATGAAGCCCAATCTTTTTCATGTTACAGATGCCTCACAAGTCACAATGGTCATCAATCATAACCTTTCACATCCAAGTCCCTCGTGTACAAAACACTTGCATGTTTTTCAAATCATGTATGAAGGTACTGATCAGGAAATGGAGAACCAAAACTAAGAACAATCATAACCTTTCACATCCAAGTCCCTCGAGCACAAAACACTTGCATGTTTTTCAACTCATGTATGAAGGTACTGATAAGGAAATGGGGAACCAAAGCTAAGAAACGTTAAGAGACTTACAGCTGGAATGCCCAAGATAGTCACAAATCAAGATAACTTCTTATAACAATAATGAGATATCAAAAGATTGATCAAATATACAGGTTGAAAATATCAGAACTTCACATCCTAGACATTATTGGCTATGTTTCCAGTGCCAAACCGTCACTAGCAGTTCTCATGTTTAATAATATAAGATAATAGCTGATAATTCTGCATAACCTAAGCAATGCCAAGATTTATCAGCCGATAAGAACTTGTTGTACAGGAGATGATGCAGGAACAATGAGAAGGGATGAACACAAGTGTAACAAAGGTAAGGTCTCACTTAAGGGAATCCATCCGAGGAGTAGAGAACACTAGAGAAGGAGAAAGCTCACTTCAAAAGATAACTTTTCTTGATTCAAATTAAAACTTGATCTCTGGTTTACAACTAAAGGAGTACATAAAGATGAATTCTAACAGCTAGCCACACTGAGCATTAATTACAATTACAAGTTATATGACACTAATGAGTAGGATCTGCTACTAGCTAGTTGCATTGTCAAATATGCATTGCCCTCCTTTTGTAGAGTAATTATGACCTTAAGATGCGACTCAAACCACATCAAACTATATATCACTAGAACACTAACTAAGTCTAATTTCCAGAATTTCAAGAATCAGGTTAATTGGAATATTCTAGAGCAAGTTACAACTGAAACAATGCAGAGGGGTCAGGCTGGCCAGATGAGCTTGGGTCTGACCCAATTGGTTAGGTCTGCTCCGTACATTCTCCCCTGGCTAAATAGAACTCGACCGCAAACTCAACTCACTTTTTCTTCATGCTATGGAGAAAGATCAGCCACATTGAAGATTTCTGATACACCATAGCCACTTGGATACCATTTGGCAGTTCAATTCGATTAAGCACTTCAAAAACTTGATGAACATGTGGCATATGCCACATGATCCCTGGTATTGAGAAGGATGACGATCAAACTTTGTGAATATAGCTTATATTCTTAATAGTATTTCTTTAACCACAATTTTATTAATTTTTCGCCAAAGCTTCTTGACGTCCTTTGGATTCATGAAGTAGATGAGCTTATCTGGAAGAACAGCAATAAGTACAAGATCGATACTGTGTTTCTTCTCTCCAGGAGAAATCTCATTTTTAATGTCTTGAGATTCATAAAGAAAAGACATTGGTGGAATTTCATTATCTTCTCTAGGCTAGCCCTAGGACCACCAATGTAAAGTTTTGGATGTGTTCCTCCAATTCTTGCTCAAACTCGTCTTTAGAAAGACACATATTTAAACTTTGATCAATAACAAAAGCCTCATTATGGTCTTCAAAAATGATACCTTCTTTTGGATAGTCATAAAAAATTGGTGGCGACTCGTAATCAAAGAGATATGGAGATTCTTCATTTGAAGTGTAAGAACTATCTAGATACAAAAGATTAACAAACACATTCTTATAAAAAATGCTCACTTTCCTCTGATTTAGACTAACCATCTTGTTGGTGTTAATTTTGAAGTTGTTGCAACAGTCTTCTCATTTTATCCACCTTAAGGTTAATATCCCATTCCAAACCACGGTTCCTTCAGGGATGTTGATGAGGAGGAGCCTCTTCATCACTTGATGCTCGGGTAGGAACATAGTGAAAGGGGTTGATCTCATCCTATTTGGCACTAGAATCATCATGCTCCGAGACATGGCAAGATTCATCACATCTCAAAGCCTGCACGCACGCAAGACGCTCTTGGAGTAGTTGCACTTGTCTCCATGTCCATTTCCACACCCCTCAAGTCACGTTCATGGGCCATGGGTTGATCGGACACAAGAACTCAACAACAACATCATGCCATTCCCACCAAAATTCTGATAGCAACTTGATGCCAGAACAAGGAGGATAAGGGATGAACACAAGTCTAACAAGAATAAGGTCTAATAGGGAATTGCTTCTCATCTCAAATTGAGATGATTCAATTTGTACCAACGGAAACCATAAATTTCATACATAAAAATATACACCCAAGGGAATCCACCCAAGCAGTAGAGAACAATAGTGAAGGATAAAACTCACATCAAAAGATAACTTTTCTTGATTCAAACTAAAACTTGTTCTCTAGTTTACAACTGAAGTACATAAAGATGATTCTAACAGCTAGCAATATTGAGCATTAATTACAATAACAAGTTACAAGGCACTAACGAGCATTGTTGAAAAAACACCGCTTTTGGCCACTTATGCGCCTTGCAAGGCGGAAGCGATGCCTCACAGCTCCGCTTTTGTCGAAAGCGGCCAATGAAAACATACATGGCACTTTTTTATTGAAAACACGGCAACAAGCTTGTAAAATTGATATCAAGCGCTTAAGTAAAATCCTCTGCTTCTCTCTCCTCTTCGTTTCTGCGCATCGAGATAAAATAAACACTAACCCTAACTCCCACTCTAGTCACCTTGTCTAGTGCCTCCGGACAAATCAACCGCCTCCCGCAATCAAGTCCGCCTCCAAATCTTTTACAAGCAAGCTCCGCCATCACCATCACCATCACCATCACGACATCACCTTTTCTTGAGCTCCTCATCAAAGCTCATCATCACCATTTTCAATCTAAGCTTACCATCACCATCACCATCTCCATCTCCAATCAGAGCTCATTCACCTCCTTCTCCAATCGAAGACACTTCCTCCTCACAATCATCTCCTCCGACATATATATCCATAATTAAACTGGACCTTATTTTATTTGGCACATTTTACCGCTTCTTGTCGCTAAAGCCCCAAAAAGCCCGAGTTGTATACTGTTTCACTCCGCTTTTTTGATTTCTTTCTAATGAGTAGGATCTACTATTAGCTAAACTGCACTGTCAAATCTATCCTCATCTTGCAGAGTAATTATGGCCCCGAGATGCGACTCAAACCCCATCAAATTATATATCATCAGAAAGCTAATCAAGTCTAGTTTTAGGATTTCAAGAATTAAGTAATTTGGAATCTTTTAGTGAATGTTACAACTGAAACAGTCAGAGGGGTCAAGCTGGATGAGTGAGCTCGAGTCTTCAAGCTGGATGGGTGAGCTCAAGTCTGATCTAATTGTTTGCGTTTGTTCCGCTATCAAAACACCATAGAGAGTCGGAGACTAGCAATCTCATAAATGTGTTTAGACTTTAGACATGGTAGAGGTTTATTGGGGGAAGTTCACAAATCATACCGGACCAATATTGTAGGTGTTAAAGACACTAGCAGGGTTATTTTTATTTCAAAAAATCAGTTCTTACGTAGTCCTAAAGAAACCCTCTTCTTTCATCACTACCCCCCCCTCCAAAAATAAAAAAATAAAAAATAAATAAATAAATAAGAGAAAAGGTCCACTAACAAAAAGCCACACGCAAGCATGGAAAAAATTGAAATTCCAACTGTTGTGTACTTCTATCATGATTAGTATCTTACTTTAAAAGTACCACAAGAATAAGTTGGTCAAGCGCTCTACAAGTTCGTGTATTGTCAATTAGAATATCATGCTGTTGTTTAGCAAAAAATAGTTCCAATGAATTCAAAGAATTGATGACAATGTTTAAGATATTAAAGAAGCACTAACGTATAGGTGTTAGATGGAAACTCCCCATAATGAACATCTGGGTTTGCATCAGCTTTTACTCCCTTTGCATCCATCATGTCATTCTGTTGGTCAACTTTCGATTGATCATGTCCCGATTCTACTTTAAGATCAATTAGACAATGGTCCTGTTGGGGTATATTCTTCAGTCTTGAGTCCTATGGAAAAAAATATCACTTTGTTAAATTCGCATATTATGGACAAACTGACGATAATTTATAGTGCACTATGAAGTAACAGGCAATGTCTACGTCCAATCAAAAAAAATCCTTTGTTCAAAAGATCATGAGTTTAATAACTAATCAGCTAAAACGTATCCCTAAGAATACATACGTGCAATGTATAGCGACGCAAGAGAATCTTCAAAGCATCACAATACTATTCACTACACTAAGTGAGATGCATAGAGAATCTAGTATATTAATCTCAACAATTAGTCTTACTGTATCCTGATTTCTTATATCTAACATATGTTCCTCTTTCACAAATTTGCACTTGTAATGAGGAACAGCGGCCATAATTTTATATTCTAACCTTCCCTTCCAGATTGAGTGTCCTCTATATGCAGTGATATCTTTTTTAAAACCCACTTTAAATATGCATCCGATACGATTTGAATCAGGACTGTTCATATATCATCCTATCCTTCGATTACACCAAAACCCTGAGTTGTGACAATAATCAAGGGTTATAATCTTACAGTCCAACAAAAGGAAATCAACTTAATCTACTTGATAAATGAGTAAAATTGCAATCTAAACATTCATATAATAAATAATGACATGAACGAATCAATAGAATGGGCACACTCCTCAAATTAAACCTAAATTTAGAAACCGTTTAAATACAAATCTGATATGATTTGCATCTTACTATTCTAACATCATCTTAAAGCTTCTTAAATTGCACCAAAACTCCAAACCAGCGGTGATGATGGTTGAGGACTATAATTTTTCGACCAGCAAGCAAAAATAAACAGCCACAAGAAACGAAATCGAGAAAATGGGCAAACTCCTTACCCTCGCTCTAGCCCTATCAACGAGCGAAATCAGAGGAATCAGCCTCAAGTACCAATCAATCTCCTCCCTCGCTTTCCTAAACTGCGACCCAACGTTCCAACCCATCGCCAACAGGTAAAGATAGCTCATTCCCCGGCAGCTGTCGACGAGAACAAAGGACCTCCGCAGGGCCTCCTCGAGCTGCTCCAGCGGTTCCCGCGTCTCGCGGTGCCGCTTAAGCTCCGAGACATCCAGCTTCTCCAACAGGTCGCCGACAACTTTCAGATGCTGAGCGAATTCGACGCAGTTCTTCCTGTGCGTTCTCGCCGTCGATGCCGATCTGACGATCATCGAGATGAGGCCGACGGCGTCGACGCCGGAGAGCTGGGCTACGCTTGCGACGTCGCCGATGGTGTCCATTGATAGTGAAGTTAGGGTTAGGGTTTGAAGAAAGAAACTCAGTGTTGACTGATATTAATGAGATTGTGGAATCCATAATGGATATTTTTTCTTGTGCCGCGTTGAATTCGGATCTTATTTTTCCTCCCTGAGAAAATTGGAGGAAGTTACTCGGAGGAAGACAATCGCGGGTAGGACAGCGTCGAAGATCGCATTCCTTTGTACTATTTTTGTGAGTAATTTGTGTGACTTGTGGATTTTTTTTTTTTCCTAATGGGTAACAGTGAGGGGGGCCATGCACGTGCCAAATCTAGTTTGGTGTTCAGAGGGTGTTTGGTTGGCGTAAAAAAAATTCTCATGTGGGCCTTAGTGCACTGTAACAAGAGAAGAGTGTGGTTAAGGGTGTGGTTAGGGGGTATGCCTCTAGCATTTTCCTAAAACACCCTTGAAACTCCTTTCCCATCCCCCACACAGCGTCCACCTCAAATTAAGAGGAAATCGGTGCAAAACTCTCTTCACCTGTGTTACTGTCAGATCTGCAATGAAATGGGAGGAAAATCTGAGTTGGCTAGGGTTACCGCCACTTTGATCTCTTTCACGCCTCGGTTCTTTGATGCTTGCGGTGTTCCTCCTTTTTCTATCTTCGCTGTCTCGGATCTTTGTATGGCGCTGTTGATTTTTTTTTCCTCTCTTCTTCTTGTGATTTTTGCTGGATCTTGAGAAAAAAAAACAAACGTCTTTCTTGGTGAATTGTTGTTGCTTGATTTGTGCAAAAATCAGCATTTTTTTATTCCATGGTAATAATTTTCAGGTAAATTTTTGTGATCTGAATTACTGCCTCAATTTAATTTTTTTGTGATCTGAATTACTGCCTCAATTCTTTGATGCTTGCGGTTTTCCTCCCTGAAATTTTATTGAGCATAATTGTTCGTTGTGATGTGAATCATTGTTCTTTGCACTGCTGTCAAACTGAACTATGATATTTGATGCTTGCAGCTTCTCATTGGATTATTTATATCACTTCACTCGGGGTTTTCTATCTGACAAAATGAAACTCATAGAGTTTCTTTTCCGAATAAAACAAGCGGGTACAAATTTATGTAGAATTGGCAGAAAGTTCGGGTTTCAGCAAAATTGGGTGGCGGTCGACCGGCCCGGTCGACCGCATTCGTGCACAGGAGTTATTAGGCTTCAGGATTGGTGGCGGTCGACCGATACGGTCGACGTTTTGGATTTGTATAAATACCCTTTGGGTGTTTTTTAGGGTATGCAAGGCAGGAGTTTTTGAGCAGATTGTGAGAGTTTTCTTTGGGCTTCTATTCTAGGAGCAATTGGAGAGATTGAGAGTTGATTGTTGAGGGTTTATGAGAGATTTGTAACCCTAGTTTGTTCCTCTTGATTTCTAATAGTGAAAACTCCCCCCTCCTTGCCCCGTGGACGTAGGCATCTTGCCGAACCACGTAAAACTGGTGTTTGATTGTTTGTGCTATTGATTTTGGTTTGGTTATTTATCTTTCTCGGCGATTATTTTGGTTTCTCAAGGCGCAACAATTGGTATCAGAGCTCGGGCTACGCTTGGGCTATTTTGGAGAAGTAGATCGCTTTGAAAGTTCATCTAGGGCTTCGTTTGGTGATAAAGGTGGGATCTTTTCAGTAAAAATCTCGTCTTTTTCAATTTGGATCTATCTCTCGTTTGTTTCCGCATTGGTTTTTGGTAGTGCTTTGAGATATATGGCTGAAAAAGATAAAAGTGGGGAGGGTTCTTCTGGTGTGAAGGCCGTCCAAAGTTTGAATATACATTCTATGAAAATAGATGTGGAAAAGTTTAACGGCACTGTAGGCATCAAAAAATGCTTACAGATATCCAAATACTACTCAAGACAAAGAAGAGGCGATAAACGTCATTCTCTTAATCAAAGGGGATCATTCAAAGGAAGCTAGACAACATAGAAGAACAATATGAACACCCACGACAAGAAACACTGAAGCGCATTTGCACGGTAGTGGAAGATGTTGTGCACACAAACAGAGTTATATTCCTATGTGAATTTGTAGATCTCTTCGATAGCTTTCCAACGCATCTTGGATCACCTCATTCCGACATCGGACGAGGAAGTTAGAGCCAAAATACCCGAGAGGTCGCAAACTACATCGAAGGTGCGCGGCAGTGTACACTGCCGCGGCAACAGCGCGACAGTACAAGGTGTCGCACAAATAAACATAGTGAAGCTCCAATGGGAAATTGTAGAGCTCTTCGATAGCTTTCCAACGCATCTTGGATCACCTCATTCCGACATCGGGCGAGGAAGTTAGAACCAAAATACCCGAGAGGTCGCAAACTACATCGAAGGTGCGCGGCAGTGTACACTGCCGCGGCAACAGCGCGACAGTACAAGGTGTCGCGCAAATAAACATAGTGAAGCGCCAATGGGAGGTTGTAGATCTCTTCTATAGCTTTCCAACGCATCTTGGATCACATCATTCCGACATCGGACGAGGAAGTTAGAGCCAAAATACCCGAGAGGTCGCAAACTGCATCGGAGGTGCGCGGCAGTGTATACTGCCGCGGTAATATATTGCACATTTAAGCTATGATATGATCCAAATCTGAAGAAGCTAAAAAGACAAAAGTTGTAGATCTCTTCGTCAGCTTTCCAACGCATCTTGGATCACCTCATTCCGACATCGGACGAGGAAGTTAGAGCCAAAATACTCGAGAGGTGCGCGGCAGTGGTAACTGCCGCGGCAATGCGCGACACCACGTACTGTCGCGGCCACTGGGAAGTTGAACACGTCATTTTTGACAGTTTTCTCGAGTTTTGTGCAGCCCACATGGCTTATTAACTGCTGGGGGTCACTTATGAACGTGGGGGAAGCAGTTACAAGCGAAAATCATGCCCACTAACCTCATAAAAAGATGGTATTTAAGTAGTGGGAAGGCGGTTACAAAAGGGGGCTGATTAGAGAGCATCCAAGGGGGGCTGATTAGAGAGCATCCGAAAAAGCTTAAGCTTTTGGTGAATTAGAGCAAAAGAGAGAGTCTTCCTTCTTCACAAACAGAGCATTTTCCAGGGAGATTAGAGCAGGAGGCTTAAGCTTTTGGTGAATTAGAGCAAGAGAGAGAGTCTTCCTTCTTCACAAACATCCTCAAGAAGCTTCTAGCGAGTCCTAGAGATCTAAGCTCAGACTTGATCTTTGGAAGAGTGAACATCTTACATCGATAAGATATTCACTTTCAAATCTTTACTTCGATAAACGAGGAAGAATCATTAAACCCCTCACGGTTCAATCAGAATCTGTGATTTGGTGGTCCACGAGTCAAAGCGCTCCCGGCACAGGCAAAGATCCCACGCAAGCAGCGATCCAAACAACGATCCTGCGTTTGTTTCTAAAAAGTTGTAATTTTCCTTTTGTTGTGTAAAAGAAGTCTTATAAAAAGACTATCTCTTTTGAATTTATTGTAATCGACCGAAGATATAATGAATTCCATAACAAAACCAACTTTTGACGCAAACAAGCTGGCGACCACAGTGGGAGCCAACGGTCTCGCTGCCGAGACCGTCGTGTCGCAGCCGATCAAGATTCCAGTTGAATCCATGGTCGAATACGAATTCGACCAAACCAAGTTTGAGGAATATCTCTCATCATCCTCTTCAAGATCTTCATTATCTCGCAAGTACAAGAGGATCTCACAATTGAGGAAGAGTTGCATGCCAAAGAAGGCACAAAATGAAGACTCTCGCCTGATTGTTGCTGAGGATTCTACTCACAACCTCTCTGCTCATAATGGCTCTTCGCCAAGTAAAGAGTCATTAAATCAAAGCCCACCGGCATTGACGAAAAGAGCTCGTCAGAGACAACGCCAACGCCGCGCTCGCCAAATGGCTAAGGCGTTGGAACAAACCGACGGGGTTCGTTATCACGCGGACCTAAAGTCGAGGAGGAGTCATTAAATCAAAGCCCACCGGCATTGACGAAAAGAGCTCGTCAGAGACAACGCCAACGCCGCGCTCGTCAAATAGCTAAGGCCTTGGAGCAAACCGACGGAGTTCGTTATCATGCGGACTTAGAGTCGAGGAGGCATCGAGTGGTTCAGTTGTCTCAACGACCAATCACTCATGTCTCTGCTAAATTCACGACGGAGGAATGGACTATTGTCAAAAGGACTCGTTCGACCCTCAAAGAACGTATACAAAAACGTCGTGCAAACGTTGCTCATGCCCGTGCTCTCTTACAACAAAGACGAGAAAGGAGGAAGGAAACGGTGACCAAAGAACCACCGAAACTCCGCCAAGTTTGGATTCCAAAGTCTGGACTTATGCAAAATCAGCATTCGGAGCCCGTTAAGACTCCATACCCGCAAGGGGGTGGTTCTAAACGTGTGACTCCCGACATAACCTTGGATCGTTCAAAGACAAAAATAAATTGTCCTGAGAATGCCAACAAGGTTTTACACCCCCAGAAGAAGACGCATTCACCAAATGATATCGTCATACTTGGGAGGTCATGCCAACAGACGATACGATTTTTTGGCAATCATACCCGATGAGTCGTATTATCAAGTTGGGGTTGTGAATAATTTTCGAAAGAGAGTTATTCGAGAAATAAACTCTCATTATTCCTGTGCGCGACTCGTTAAAGCAGCATTATCAGAATGTGACTGTTTCAAACGAGAAGCCATCCCACGAAGAGTCTCTGTATTGTCGAAGCCTAAGCCAAGACATTTTCGCAAAAGAAAATCAGCTGCCCAAGATGATGAATTCCCTGAAGTCACTATCAACGTGGCTGATAAAAGAAAGTCTAAGCGGCATTCAAGTGACTCAAATCCCGACTTTTCCCCGGGAGGAAAAGTCAATCCAAGAATTGCTCAAAGGATGTCTCGACTCCAATTAGGAGCCATCAGACGCAGAGATTACAAAAGAATGCAAGAAGGAATGTCCTCGGAGGATGAATTCTCGGACACTTATTCTGCAATCGCTTCTGATGATACAATGTCTAGCACAGGACAAACCAGAGAAGTACTCACGATCACCTCTGATCAATTTGCTCAAATGCTTCAAGAAGCTCTAGCGAAGCAACGTGAAGAAATCAGAGCTGAGATGAAGACAGAGATGGAGCTAGCTATCCAACAACTCAACGGCCTTAACCTCCTGAGTCCAGTCAGCGAGCTGAATCCAGCCGCCACACTCAGAATGTGGCAGATGATAGTGATCCATAAGTGGATGAAGTCATCTTT